CATCCCAAATGACGCACTATATACTATGCACTTATACACTATGTACTCAACCGTGTAGCGTATTAATTATTTAAGGTTATTTTATCATTTATAATCGGAGTCTGATGGCCCTCCACCTTTATGACGTAATTAAAGCTGCGACAGTTGAGTGCATGAAGTGTCCAACGTTCCACACTTTGTTTTTGTGGTTATTTAAGTGCATCATTCGGGTATTTAAAGTGCACTTTTTTGAGGGAATTTTCAGTGTAAACGCACTACTCGCACTATTTATACTACAAAATGTCATAGAATAGTGCATAAGTACGCGATTTGGGACGTACCTGTTGTTTTCGTTCAGATCAATGCGCAGACAACGTAGAAAACGTATCCGCGTGGCTTAATTCAGGCATTTTGCTGACTATATTTCAGTTGTTTTAAAACATACCAAAGATCCACTTTATATGGCACGTTTTGGTGCTTTTTGTCATTTTTTGGAGTGTGATCATTCCAGCCCCCATTCACTTTCAGTTTCTTCAAGCAGAAGAGCACCCAGGATAAAAATAACATAATAAATAATAAATGTATTATAAATTAATAAATATTTATTTATTTATTTATACTAAATCTTACTATTTCTTTAAATAGTAAAATATTGTCTTCAACATGAGGATGAAGAAATGATGACAGAATTTTTATTTTTGGCGAAATATTCCTTTAAAAAAAGGAAAGGAGCATGATTGAGGGAATAGAATTATTTAACAGAGTGAGAGAGGTGGTGATGAAATTAAAGAGCTAATAGAGGAGCAGAGATAGCAGACATGGGACAGAGAGAGTGAGAGAATTAAAAGAGAGACAATGGAGAAAAAAGCCTCTGACTCATCCTCAGCTGCGGGGGCAAGGGAGGTTTCTCTCTCTCTCTCTCTCTCTCTCTCTCGCTCTCTCTCTCTAATGCATGTGGGTGTAAATAAGCCATAAGACGCACAGAAAAGGGAGATTTCTCCATATCTCCCTCCTCTCACAGGTGGGCACAGCTCTGTCACATGTGTAAACGAAGCACTTTTTCTATGTTCCTCCCATGTTTCTGCCTCTCTCTTCTTGTCTCATTACTTCCCTTCCAATTAGTCATGATCTACAGTGTAATTGTCACAAAATAGGACACTTGTTGGAGAAAAACACTGAAACAGACTCAGTAAAATTCTGAAATTAAATTTTCATAACACAATACACTGGCTAATGAGGATATGCTTCCCCAGTGCGCTAACCATGTGTAGCACTGCAGTCCTGCCAAGAGTGTTGTTTTGGTTTAAACCAAGGCCCAAAATGTAGACTAGTACATAAACACAAATGCCTTCTGTGCTGCAAATCTATGAATGTTTTGCCCACTAGGTCTAAGTACCAGTCATATGACTGAAAACGATGAATACCCGAAGAAAGCTAGTTAGCTGTTAGCATTTCCATTGGCATTTTGTCAACATTTAGTAATATATTAGCATATTGCTAGCCTCAAAACTAACACACATGAACTAAATGCCTCAAAGCTCAAATCTGGATTTCATAGGTTCTTTCATGGCACTATTTACCACAGTAACACAAGAACACGTTGTATGTACAACAGGATCGCATGCTTGTAATGTGTTAGCATAGCATCAACATTTGCGTACTTGCGTAGAGTATGTTTCTGACCTAAGAACTCCACTGTCTTCTAATTTGCTGTTATTTCTGCTGTCACCTTTGTCCACCCCTTACTAGTGTTTCAACTTTTATAATGAAGTGTACAGTTGTCATGAATATGCGTAGGGTAGTTATGTTGGAGGTGTGGGACTAACTCTACTGCAGTGGCATTTTTCTCTGTCTGCTTTCTCAGTCAGCTGGAGAAAAGCCAAATGGCTCAAAGAAAGTACACACTTGCTGGTTCAATATTGCACATGAGTGCACACAAGCAAGGACGTCTGCTGGTCTCTCCGACGGCCTGCGTGGTGCAAATATTTAGTGATGTACTACCATAAATAAACGTTTATGGGTTTCATATGGCCTTCAAAATATGCTGTTGAATAACCAAGAGAACTCTCTTCGCGTTCCCAAGCGCAGATAAGAGACAAGGGTTTTTGGTGTAGTGTCACAGACATGCAGATATTGATGACCTGATTTACCTTTCTTTCCTTCCACTCTCTTTTTTCTTTCACTCCTCTTCTACTAATTTCTAGGAATTTCCGGAAGCATTTAAGAATGGTGGGCAGCAGAAGAATGAAAGCACAAAGTGAGTCTATGTGTGAGTGTACAGTACGAATGATTGCACAGCTCCATTTGTGAGTTTTGTGTGTTTTTGTTTGTACATGTGATGCACGTGCTGTAGATTAGCATGTGCATGTGTATTTTTGCATGTTTGTATGAAAGATGATTGACAGTTTTGCATCATTGTGACCTATAAACCAGCGACAAATGGACATTGAAGCATATATGAGAAATGTGTGTGTAGTTGTTGTTGGTGTGGTTGAGTGTATGTGATGCAGCCCACAGTCTGTGAGGATCATGGAGCGTCGCGTGTGTGTGCGTGTGACCATCTCTCCACTTCACTAGCATTTGCAGAGCGCAGGGCGAAGAGTTTCAACCGATCCTGGAGCGATCCGACCCCTGTCAAACAAGACTCCCTAAACGACTCAAAAGACAGTGAGTCCATCTGTACACACACGCTTATACATGCCACTTTGACACACTTAACATATCAAGATCACAGCATAAAATGATTGACAGCACTAGTTATTACTTATTTACACTGCTGTTCAAAGGTTTATGGTAAGTGCTTTTTTTAAATGTTTTTGAAAGAAGTCTAATGCTCACCAAGGCAGCATTTATGTGATCAAAATTCAGTTAAAACAGTAATATTGTGAAATATTATTACAGTTTAAAATAAGTATGTATTTATTCTATTCTATTCTATTCTATTCCTGTGGTGGCAAACCAAAAAATCATTATTTCAGTCTGTAGTGCCACATGATAATTCAGAAATCAGAAACATTTCTTCTTATAATACATTTCGAAAGCAGTTGTGCTGCTTAATATTTTTGTAGATTTTATTTTCTTTTTTTAGGATTATTAAAAGAAAGTAAAAAAAAAAAAAAAAAAGTGAAATATGTTTGGTTACAAATGCAATAGTCTTTACTGTCACTTTTGATCAATTTAATGCATTCTTGCTGAATAAAAGTATTATTTCTTTAAAACAAAAAATCATACAGACCCCAAACTTTTGAACATTAGTGTATATACCGTAAAATCATTACATTATGACCAGAAGCCTTCTTGCAGACCACTTATATATCCCACACATACACAGTCTGGCAGTGACATTCCTCCTCTGCTCTTGATGCTGATCCTGTTTGTCTGTCTTCCTCTGAGCGTGGTTCTGTCCCGAATATGTGCTCCTCTCTTTCTCTCTCTGTGAGTATCTGTCCTGCCTGGAGCGTCTGGACTCTGGAGACGTATGTGTGTGTGTGTGTGTGTGTGTGTGTGTAAGTGTGCACACTGTAGAATTCTGTGTCAGCATGTTAAGTCTGTGTGTAGTTTGTCTTTAGACTTATTTTTGTCATCATGTTTGTTTTTGCCACCTGTGTCTTCAGGGAGCCTTAAGAATGATTGTGAACATTTGACTTACAGTTGTAATATTTGTATGTTGGCTTTTCTCTGTCTGTTTTCTATCTCTATAGCTGCCTGGTTTTTCTCTCCTCTTTACTTTCTCTTATACAACCACTACTACAGTCTCATTGCAGTTTTAAATTTATAACTCTAGTTAGGTGTACTGCTGTATATTTAAACGGACTGGAGTCAAACAAGTGTGAAGAGAAATTCACAACAAATTAAAGCTCCATTTTAGCCGTTAAAAGGATAGTTCACCCAAAAATGAAAATGCTCCAGATGTCATCATTTTGTCACCCTCATGTCATTCCAAACCCACAATCTGTTATTTTTAGTGGAAAATGAAGAAATACATGTTCCATACATGAAAAGTTCATCACAGCTGTCCAAAAAGGACTTTCAGATCCTTTTCATTAAAATTAAAATTTTGATTAGTTCACAAAAAGTGTTATTTTAGTATTATTTATATATACTTATATAGTATTAAATAATTGTTTTTTTCTAAACTTGTTTGCCAACTTATTTCATTTGCCAAGGCAACATTTCTGATTTTCTTTTAAGGGCTTTTTAACCTAAAATTTATTTTTTATTTTATTGGGAAATAAATGGAATAATTCGTTTTTAGTTAACAGTAATAATACTACAGGATGTATTGTGGAATTCCAGGCAACACTGAACACTGATGCTTTTTGTCGGGTTCTGTTTCGACATTTTCAGTACCTTGACAGTTGTGGTCAATATTAACCATCCTTCTGTGGGATATCCTTAAAAAGTCTCTTCATGTTCCACATAAGATATAACAGCATAAAGGTTTGGAATAAAATTTTTTGGTGAACTTTCCCTGTTATCAGTTTATGACTCCTAATTTGGAAGCAAAACTGAGTGAAAGTCAACAGCTCAATTACTGCAGTCCATGTAAACAAATTCACTGTCAATCTGTCTTATCTTTGTTCCTTTTTCTCTCTATCTGAGCCTTTCTCTTTCTCCATCCACTCTTTCCTCTTCTCATTCCTCGCTTGTCTCTTTGTTCCTTTTTTCTCTGTGTCTTCCTTCTGCTTTCTCTGTGTCCATCATTAAACTGTCTCTCTGCTGTGTTGTGTGATGCCACAGGTGGGGATCTGCAGACGACCTGCGGTACTCCAGAGGAGGGCGGATGTGAAGACATGGACTGGGAGGAGGAGAGAGAGATGGAGAGACTGGCGTGTGAGGGGGATGACTTCATCCCTCCTAAAATTATGGTATGCAATTTAATTAAATTAAAAACACATTTTTTTTCCAGTTTTTACCGCAATTCAGGTTTTGATTTTTTCTTTTGAATTTTTAAGTAATTTTGCTTCACATATTGTAAATATAATGTTAATTTAATGTATTATATTTTATTTTAATGTAATTTACGTTTTTACTGCAATTTACTTGATTAGCTTAAATTAATTTATTGGTGACCATTTTTATTTATGTTACTTAAGTAATTTTATTTGACTTAATTACATAAAATTTACCATGTTAATTTATTTAAAAAAAATTTTTTTTACATCATTTAAGTAAATTTTGAGTCATTTTCAGAATATTACTGTAATTTATTTGTTTAATTTAATTAAAACTTTTGTCACTTTTGTATCCTTTAGCTGATCTCATCTAAAGTTCCTAAAGCAGAATATGTTCCCAACATCATTCGAAGGGACGATACATCTATTATACCTATTCTCTATGTAAGTCAAGCCAGTCTTCACTCTACATCACATAGGAATACATTACACATCATCCAGATGTCCATTTTGACCATTTACAATAAAACAAATGAGTAGTTAATGGATTTTCACTGAAAAGATATTTGAAACACAAAGCTAATGTTTGCTTTGTCCTGTGCAGTAGAACCAAAGGCACTCTATAGGATGTGATACAAGAGGACACATCACAAAATACTGTCCAGAGGTTTAAACAGACAAGTGATGACCAAACTGATAGCAAACACAATAGTAAATGACAACACGTCCTCAACAGCACAAAGAAACGCAGAAGCCAGTAATGTTATCTGGAGTGTGAATTAGAGATTAGAGACGTTAAGCATGATACAAAGAACATTTTCTGTTCTGAATTGGTCTAATCTGTGTGTTTATATTGATTGTTTTCATTATTTTTATCTCCAGGATCATGAGCATGCCACGTTTGATGATATTTTGGGTATGTAGCTTTATGTGTGTGTTCTGTTTGTTGCTGTGTGTTTGCTGGCCATGTGCTTTTTTGTGTGTGTGTTTTGAGCATTTTACCCCTTGCCTGGTTATTTCATTGTGGAACGACGGTGGGCTTTGTATTGATTTTTGCACCAGCCAGCATGAGAAATACACAAAAAAATTGGATTCCTGATAAATGACACTGGATCAGAAAAGTGCCTATATTTTCTAGTGACTGTTTTACAACAGTGACTCTATAAAATCTGTGGTGATCAAGATTTATTCAATGTGTTTTGGAGTCAAGCAGAATCAGAAATTCAGAAATTAACATTTTTCAGTGGGCAGTTATGCTAATTATAACGTTGATTGTTTGTTCATTTGTTTGTCCATATAACAAGCAACAAAATGATGATAGCCATCATCAAAAAAAAAAAAAAAACTAATATTTAGGATTGAAAGGGCTTGACAAGTATACAATATAATATAATATAATATAATGATATATTTGCATGCAAATCAATAAAGCAATAATGCAAGAAAATGGTGGTTACATGAGATTTGGAAATTCAGTCCTGAATAAGTCTGTTATGTATTGAATAATATTGTTATATATTAAATAATCCTTTAAAACCGTGATTATAGACTCTTACATGTAAAGTTAGGTTAGGATAATAGGCAAAATCTAGATTTTGATCTAAAATTATGAAAGGACTTGAAATAATATATAGAAATAATGCATAATATCATCCCATATATAACAATTATAATATAATATAATATAATATAATATAATAAAATAAAGGGTAACCTCGGGAATAAAGTAAAAAAAAAAAGGAACATTGCAAGAAAATTGTGGTTACATTATCTTATTTTTGACATCTAAACAGTTATATTCTGAATAAGCTGATAGAACTGTGATTATAGACTCTTACATGCAAAGTAAAATCAGTCTAATATGCAAAAGGTTTTGCTTGCCATGGCTTTTCCCCAATATTCTAAAGGCTGTACACTATGTCAACTTACGTATATTCACTGTAAGATTGTGCATGTATATGCACTCAGTGTGACTACAGCAGTGTGTTTGTTTTGTGTGCAGAGGAGATTGAGAAGAGATTGACAGCCTACAGGAGGGGCAGTAAGATCTGGCGCATGATGATCTTCTGTCAGGTGAGAAAAAACAAAGCCAACAAACAAACAAAATCACAAGAAATGAGACTGTAAGTGCACCAGAGTACTCACTGCTGTCTCAGTTTGATGTTGCGTAATGGTTGTGTGTTCAGATGGACAGGATTTCACAGGTCTGTCACTCTCAGTTCAGAGGGCAATACTACTGGTCTTCTGTTTCTTTGAGTTTGATGTTATGTAAGGTTTTAAATGTGTAATTTTCTGTTTCAGGGTGGCCCGGGGCACCTGTACCTTCTGAAGAATAAAGTGGCCACTTTTGCCAAGGTCGAGAAAGAGGAAGACATGAGCCAGTGAGTGAGATCCGTAGAAAAGTCTTGTTTTGATATTCCTTTAGTGACTGTTATCTGAGAGATTTCGCTCATGTGTTTGTGGTGTACATGCAGGTTTTGGAAACGTCTGAGCCGGTTTATGAGTAAAGTGAATCCAGAGCCCAACCTGATCCACATTATGGGTTGTTACGTACTGGGCAATCCTAATGGAGAGAAGGTATGTCACATTCTGAAGCAGCAAGTCTGCAGTATTTACGTAATGCTTGTACCTTGAGTTTCTGCATTATATTTAGAAATGGTCCCTCTGGGGCCTGCCGGGGCCATGTTCAGCTCTCATCTCTTTAGACACAGACATGCACCAACTCCATCTCTCCATTTTTCTATATAACACCTCTCTGTCTGTCACCATCATGCCTGACATCATTTTTCCCCTGGTTATTTAACTTAAAAGAACCCTTTCCTGTCCAGTACTCAATCTTTAATTGATATAGAGCTGTGTTTATGCATCAGCACTCTGTAACCGTCTATTCATTGCAATTTGTGAAAGTGTTCTTACTTTTTCCTGTTAAGTACACTTTAGTTTCTGGAAATACTTCATATTGTCTTCTTTAATTTAATGAATAAACCCAACTTTGACTCTGACTTTGGCGATTGTTCAAAGGTGTGTCAAAAATGACAGTAAAGACTTTTATAATATTGCAAAAGATTTCGATTTCAAATAAAATAATCCTGAAAAAAATATCAGTTTCCACAAAAAATATTAAGTAGCAAAAGTTTTCAGCATTGATAATATTCAGGGTAATAATAAAACCATTACAAAACTGTTACTTAAAATAAATGTTAACTTAAAATAAATTAATTTCAGCTAGTTGCCAATGCATATTTTCACATTTTCTTTTAGTTTACCTTGAAGCTTACCTACTAAAATAACTGAAATAAAAATGAAACACAACAAAATGACTAAAACTATAAAACTATAAAAATAAAAGCTAATTCAAAATATTATTAAAAACTATAGTAGAATATCAACAATACTAAAATAGATAATCATTAGAACTGTTTTTGAGCACCAAATGAGTATATTACAATGATTTATTTTAGTACTTATATATATTCTTTTAGTTTAAGTAATAAATGAAATAAAACTGAAATAAAAATGAATAAGAACTGTGTAAACTAATAAGAATTACAAAAACACAGCAAAATGACTAAATCTTTACCAGAAATATAAATTTAAATAAAAATATAAACATAAAAACTATGTAGTATGGCATATATAGTATATTTAAAGCACTAATACTAAAATAATACTAATAATAATAAAAAAATGTTTCTTGAGCACTATGATTGCTAATTATTTCTGAAGGATCATGTGACACTGAAGACTGGAGTAATGATGCTGAAAATTCAGCTTTGCATCACAGGAATGATTTAGATTTTTAAATATGTTAAAATAGAAACAATTCTTTTAAATTAAAATAATATTTATCAATAACATTACTGTTTTTACTGTATTTTTGATTAAATAAATGCAACCTTGGTTAGCATATTTGCTAGACTTATATTAAGAGACTACTGAAATGTAGTGTATATAACACTCAAACTAGTTGCTGTGATCATTAACATCTAATTTGAGACTTCCTTAACTGTTGGACTTCAGACTTGAATGCAAATCTCCATCTGTCGTTTAGAGTCAGCCTTAACTTTCAGCTCGTTCCGTCTTGTTTGGTGGCCTGACGAGTGTTATATGACAGGAGCCCCGAGATTTCGCCCCAAGGACACATTCATGCCGCCCTTGGAACCTAATGTACGAATGCGTTTCTATGGAGACGGGTTTGGCGTAAATCTCATTCGCCGTGCGTCATTGCCCAAGAGGCGCCACCGTTCCCGAGAATTGCGTTCGCGTGCGTTCTTGTGATTGACACACGGAGGATGACTGACTTGTGTGAGTTCGTGAACGCATGCTGGGTTATCTTCCGACAGAATTTGGCCTTCGCGAGTGAATATCAATGCACGTTTATCTCAAATGGGAACTCTATGAATATTGCAGCATTTGTTTGTGGCGTCCCCCTTAGCGTTGTGCTCATGTTTTCATTTTTATCCACTCTGTAAGGCACTGGCTTCCTTCACAGGGTGAGCCGGAAGAGAAAATCTGTGTCTGTAACTTCATCTTTAATCTCTGTCTGGGTTCTGAAGCCTCTCAGAGCGTTGTATGGATGTTAAGATCTTAACTGGGTTCTTTTGAAGGTTCTCGTTTGCCTTTCCCATTGCCCGTGTGAGATTTATCCAGGGCCACAAACCCGGGTGCTGCCATTATCCCTAACTAACCTCCTCGAGTCAAAGAGTGAGTGAAGGAGAGAGCGAGAGAGCTGTGTGAGGGGGAGAAAAAAAGCGGATTATTAATGTCTTGGCTTATCATGTGCCAACAGCTGTTCCAGAAACTGAAGAACCTGATGAGGCCTTATTCTGTCACGTTTGAGTCACCGCTGGAGCTCTCCGCTCAGGGTGAGACTGTCTGCAATGTGCTTATGCTCACACTCCTACACGCAAAAATAAACACACATAAACAGACTCTTCCTTGCATGATTTGAAATCTAGTAGTTGTTAATGAAGGAAAACTTATATATATATATATACACTGCATGTTATGTAAAAGGGATTTTTCACCCGAAAATGCAAATTCTGACCTTCATGTCATTCCAGACTTGTACAGTTATTTTTTCTGTTCTTTTTTTCATATAAATAACATAGATCAGGGTCAGTACGAATAAATTTGAACAAATTAATTAATTTATATTTATATATCTTTTGCAAAGAATGCATTAAATTGATGGAAAAGTAAAAGTAAAGATAATGTTTCAAATTTGATGTTATGTAAGGTTTCAAATGTGTAATTTTCTGTCTCAGGGCGGCCCAGGGCATCTGTACCTGCTGAAGAATAAAGTGGCCACTTTTGCCAAGGTCGAGAAAGAGGAAGGCATGAGCCAGTGAGTGAGATCCGTAGAAAAGTCTTGTTTTGATATTCCTTTAGTGACTGTTATCTGAGAGATTTCGCTCATGTGTTTGTGGTGTACATGCAGGTTTTGGAAACGTCTGAGCCGGTTTATGAGTAAAGTGAATCCAGAGCCCAACCTGATCCACATTATGGGTTGTTACGTACTGGGCAATCCTAATGGAGAGAAGGTATGTCACATTCTGAAGCAGCAAGTCTGCAGTATTTACGTAATGCTTGTACCTTGAGTTTCTGCATTATATTTAGAAATGGTCCCTCTGGGGCCTGCCGGGGCCATGTTCAGCTCTCATCTCTTTAGACACAGACATGCACCAACTCCATCTCTCCATTTTTCTATATAACACCTCTCTGTCTGTCACCATCATGCCTGACATCATTTTTCCCCTGGTTATTTAACTTAAAAGAACCCTTTCCTGTCCAGTACTCAATCTTTAATTGATATAGAGCTGTGTTTATGCATCAGCACTCTGTAACCGTCTATTCATTGCAATTTGTGAAAGTGTTCTTACTTTTTCCTGTTAAGTACACTTTAGTTTCTGGAAATACTTCATATTGTCTTCTTTAATTTAATGAATAAACCCAACTTTGACTCTGACTTTGGCGATTGTTCAAAGGTGTGTCAAAAATGACAGTAAAGACTTTTATAATATTGCAAAAGATTTCGATTTCAAATAAAATAATCCTGAAAAAAATATCAGTTTCCACAAAAAATATTAAGTAGCAAAAGTTTTCAGCATTGATAATATTCAGGGTAATAATAAAACCATTACAAAACTGTTACTTAAAATAAATGTTAACTTAAAATAAATTAATTTCAGCTAGTTGCCAATGCATATTTTCACATTTTCTTTTAGTTTACCTTGAAGCTTACCTACTAAAATAACTGAAATAAAAATGAAACACAACAAAATGACTAAAACTATAAAACTATAAAAATAAAAGCTAATTCAAAATATTATTAAAAACTATAGTAGAATATCAACAATACTAAAATAGATAATCATTAGAACTGTTTTTGAGCACCAAATGAGTATATTACAATGATTTATTTTAGTACTTATATATATTCTTTTAGTTTAAGTAATAAATGAAATAAAACTGAAATAAAAATGAATAAGAACTGTGTAAACTAATAAGAATTACAAAAACACAGCAAAATGACTAAATCTTTACCAGAAATATAAATTTAAATAAAAATATAAACATAAAAACTATGTAGTATGGCATATATAGTATATTTAAAGCACTAATACTAAAATAATACTAATAATAATAAAAAAATGTTTCTTGAGCACTATGATTGCTAATTATTTCTGAAGGATCATGTGACACTGAAGACTGGAGTAATGATGCTGAAAATTCAGCTTTGCATCACAGGAATGATTTAGATTTTTAAATATGTTAAAATAGAAACAATTCTTTTAAATTAAAATAATATTTATCAATAACATTACTGTTTTTACTGTATTTTTGATTAAATAAATGCAACCTTGGTTAGCATATTTGCTAGACTTATATTAAGAGACTACTGAAATGTAGTGTATATAACACTCAAACTAGTTGCTGTGATCATTAACATCTAATTTGAGACTTCCTTAACTGTTGGACTTCAGACTTGAATGCAAATCTCCATCTGTCGTTTAGAGTCAGCCTTAACTTTCAGCTCGTTCCGTCTTGTTTGGTGGCCTGACGAGTGTTATATGACAGGAGCCCCGAGATTACGCCCCAAGGACACATTCATGCCGCCCCTGGAACCTAATGTACAAATGCGTTTCTATGGAGACGGGTTCAGCGTAAATCTCATTCGCCATGCGTCATTGCCCAAGAGGCGCCACCGTTCCCGAGAATTGCGTTTGTGTGCATGCTTGTGATTGACACGGAGGATGACTGACTTGTGTGAGTTCGTGAACGCATGCTGGGTTATCTTCCGACAGAATTTGGCCTTCGCGAGTGAATATCAATGCACGTTTATCTCAAATGGGAACTCTATGAATATTGCAGCATTTGTTTGTGGCGTCCCCCTTAGCGTTGTGGTCATGTTTCATCTTTATTCTCTTTGTAAGGCACTGGCTTCCTTCACAGGGTGAGCCGGAAGAGAAAATCTGTGTCTGTAACTTCATCTTTAATCTCTGTCTGGGTTCTGAAGCCTCTCAGAGCGTTGTATGGATGTTAAGATCTTAACTGGGTTCTTTTGAAGGTTCTCGTTTGCCTTTCCCGTTGCCCGTGTGAGATTTATCCAGGGCCACAAACCCGGATGCTGCCATTATCCCTAACTAACCTCCTCGAGTCAAAGAGTGAGTGAAGGAGAGAGCGAGAGAGCTGTGTGAGGGGGAGAAAAAAAGCGGATTATTAATGTCTTGGCTTATCATGTGCCAACAGCTGTTCCAGAAACTGAAGAACCTGATGAGGCCTTATTCTGTCAAGTTTGAGTCACCGCTGGAGCTCTCCGCTCAGGGTGAGACTGTCTACAATGTGCTTATGCTCACACTCCTACACGCAAAAATAAACACACATAAACAGACTCTTCCTTGCATGATTTGAAATCTAGTAGTTGTTAATGAAGGAAAACTTATATATATATATATACACTGCATGTTATGTAAAAGGGATTTTTCACCCGAAAATGCAAATTCTGACCTTCATGTCATTCCAGACTTGTACAGTTATTTTTTCTGTTCTTTTTTTCATATAAATAACATAGATCAGGGTCAGTACGAATAAATTTAAACAAATTAATTAATTTATATTTATATATCTTTTGCAAAGAATGCATTAAATTGATGGAAAAGTAAAAGTAAAGATAATGTTTCAAATATATACTATTCTTTTAAACTTTATATGCATCAAAGAATCCTGAAAAAAAAAAAAGTATCACGGTTTTTTTCAAGAACTATTAGAAATGTTTCTTGAGCACCAAATCAGCATATTAGAATGATTTCTGAAGGATCATGTGACACTGAAAACTGGAGTAGCTGACAATTCAGCTTTGCCATCACAAGAATAAATTATGTTTTAAAATATATTATAGAAAATATAGTTCTTTTACATTCTAATTATATTTTACTGGATTTTACTGCATTTTTTAATAAAATCAATGCACCCTTGAGGCTTCTTTCAAAAACATTAAAAATTCTCATCAGCCTTAAAATTGTGAAGGTATGTCTACTGACACTCTTTGCGTATGATTTAAGGAATCGAATTTTGGCATTTGCTCACCCTCATGTTGTACCAAAACCATATGGTTTGAAATGGCATGACGGCGAGTATGATGATAAATTTTTACTTAATGGGTAATTCTCATCTTTACTGACATGCCTTTATAGTAAACCATTTAAAGGAAGTTTACAGGTCTTTTTCTTCATTTTTTTTCACCTGTCCTGGGCCGACTGAACAACCCACCTCTCTTTCTTTGACTCTCAATTTTCTCTCTTCATTCTCTATAATTTCTCTCTCATCTCCCTTTATTTATATTATCCCCCACTGCATGCTGTTTTCCAATTACAGCCTGAGCAAATCTATATGGAAGTGTCTGTTCATCATAGAGAGACGTGTTCACATTGAATTCACCAATTGTATTCCAGACTCATATCTCCCTCTCTATTTCCCTCTCTTTTAGGCAAAGAGATGATTGAGATGTACTTTGACTTCCGTCTGTTTCGACTTTGGAAAACCCGGCAGCACTCAAAACTCCTCGACTACGAAGATCTCTTGTGACCCCGCGCGGGTCAGTGTGTAGCATTGCGGGCAGGACGTCCCACTGTAAAACTCCATTCCACCAGCTTTCATTTTGGAGTTCCGGAGGAAGAGGAGTGGAGAGGGACACAGCCACTTCGCTGCCATCACTACGTCTCGAGTATTGTTCATTTCAGCTCACCTCTGTGGACTTCGACCGCCTCAGAACGGTAACACACAAGAAACAAAAACGAGTGGCAAACGGTTCAAAACAAGAAAAAAAATAGAAATCCGGATACGTGGTGTTTTTGTTCTCTAATGGAGAAAAGAGAAGTCGTTTCTCAGAACTGATTGACAGTCTGTCGACTGCTTTTGTTTTTAAACTAACATATCGCCGACTTATCGATCACTAGCCGAGACCGTTGTGCTTACAAGTGTCACGCCGAAACTTACCTACCAGAACACAGAAATGGTCCTATATGAAATAACAACTAATATATCGGTATACATACAGGATATACATCTCATGAGTATATAGAGTAGCTATTTTTTTCACCTGTCCTGGGCCGACTGAACAACCCACCTCTCTTTCTTTGACTCTCAATTTTCTCTCTTCATTCTCTATAATTTCTCTCTCATCTCCCTTTATTTATATTATCCCCCACTGCATGCTGTTTTCCAATTACAGCCTGAGCAAATCTATATGGAAGTGTCTGTTCATCATAGAGAGACGTGTTCACATTGAATTCACCAATTGTATTCCAGACTCATATCTCCCTCTCTATTTCCCTCTCTTTTAGGCAAAGAGATGATTGAGATGTACTTTGACTTCCGTCTGTTTCGACTTTGGAAAACCCGGCAGCACTCAAAACTCCTCGACTACGAAGATCTCTTGTGACCCCGCGCGGGTCAGTGTGTAGCATTGCGGGCAGGACGTCCCACTGTAAAACTCCATTCCACCAGCTTTCATTTTGGAGTTCCGGAGGAAGAGGAGTGGAGAGGGACACAGCCACTTCGCTGCCATCACTACGTCTCGAGTATTGTTCATTTCAGCTCACCTCTGTGGACTTCGACCGCCTCAGAACGGTAACACACAAGAAACAAAAACGAGTGGCAAACGGTTCAAAACAAGAAAAAAAAGAGAAATCCGGATACGTGGTGTTTTTGTTCTCTAATGGAGAAAAGAGAAGTCGTTTCTCAGAACTGATTGACAGTCTGTCGACTGCTTTTGTTTTTAAACTAACATATCGCCGACTTATCGATCACTAGCCGAGACCGTTGTGCTTACAAGTGTCACGCCGAAACTTACCTACCAGAGCACAAAAATGGTCCTATATGAAATTAAAAACTAATATATCAGTATACATACAGGATATACATCTCATGAGTATATAGAGTAGCTATAGTCATGCAAATAATCTAAATGTCAATGGTACACAATTTACTTTTTCAATGTTTATTGTTGTGGTCTTTCTAACGAACTATTTTGAATAACTCAGGTTTTAGGCTTTACGGATATATTAATTACTCCCCTATCCAGATGTGTGGAAGTAATTTAGGTGGAAAAAATGGACATTCTGTCGACATACTTCATAGATTTAGTAATCTTTCGTCACGTTTTGCTTCCGGCACAACTCATTACATGCCGGTATCTGTCCCTCCATCGAAAAACATAGCCCCGCATTGCAAAACACAACCATACACAGTCCCCAAACTGGGAAATCGTGACTTCCAGTCATATAATAATAGAAACACTGACCTCAATATAGCCAGACATCTACACCAGGTGCACCTGAAGCGTCAGCAGGAACATAGCATTACAGGGAGACGTTACAGAACTGCTAAAATAAGCACTTGTGTCAATGTGTTCATAACAATTAGGCTGTTTTCACACTTGGTTTGACTGCTTGGTTTGAACCTGTCTGTCTTTAAATATAGTATTCGGCTTCAAGCGGCAGTATATTTGCGTCTTCATCATGTGTTTCTCAATAGTTTCTGCTATCAAAAAAGGGAATTGTTGTCCAGTTCACTTATTTACTCATTTGTTTGAGTTTAGTACCAAATTTTACTGTGGCACTTCAATCTGTACTAAATATACAGCAATTAGTAAAATTTCAGTAAAATTTTTCCAATGAGAAATTAATATTTCATTCTGCAAGGATTGATTAACTTGATCAAAAGACTGGAATAATGGCTGCTAAAAATTCAGCTTTGCATCACAGGAATAAATAACATTTTAAGAAAACAGAAAACACTTCAATTGTAATAATATTTCACAATATTGCTGTTTTTACTGTATTTTTGATCAAATAAATGCAGTCTTAAATCCAAAAATCTAACTGACCCCAAACGTTTGAATGCTAGTGTATGTATACTAAATAATATGCCATCAATAGCTTCTGGCATCCACAAATAAAGCTGGATTACTTTCATAACAATTGTGAATCATACTTGACTCCACATGAACCCCTGTTTTCTTGACTTGGGTTTGTTTTGATGATATCAGAAGCCGATTTCACCCCAACCAAATGGATCTGGGTTCACACCATCAGCTTTAGTGTGAAAACAGCCTCTCTCTATTTAGTCTAAAGCCGTTGGTGTTGTGGGTCATGAAGAGGCGTTTTTCTGATGGTCATTGTTGCCTTATGGGGCAGGATGGTATTTGATGGCCGTATATGGATAATAGAACCATTTAGACCGTTTTATGGCAGCTTGCAGGTGTAAACTCTATGCATTCTTCTTCTTCCATTAGTAGCTTTCAAAGGTTTAGAGCAACTCGGGAGTTGTTTCTCATGTGTATCTTTATGAATGTTCTAATGTACTCCGCTAATAAGCCATACCCTCTTTAGCAAGCTGCTCAGACTGATGGCTCTTTGATGTGGATGGCTTCAGGCACTCATGGAGAACTTCCAGCTGGTTGAACGATGGAATCTTCTCTTGTCTTGTTTTTTTATGTATCCACAATGCTAATTGGCTACTCCTTTAGTGTTATTCAGGAAATATTTAACTTAACTGATAGACAGAATGAGGTCTTGCCCCATGAAAATAAGTGAAGCCGTAAGTATGCAGTGTCAAGCCATCTTATTGAGAGGGAAAGGAACTCCAACAACATGCTAATAGAACGTTAGCAACATACCTTGCCAAGATGTGCATCATCTGGGAATGTATCCATTTAGAGATGATTTAATGGTGTTTAATATTAAAATACCATCTCTTATTTCAATTTAATATGGATGCACAACTAAAAATAAGGTTTATTTCCCAGAAAAGTGTAAACACTCTGGTTCAACCAATGGCGTGAGTTGGGGGCGGTACTAATTTGTTCATTCTAAAGGGTTGTTGATAGGGGTGTAACAATACACTCATGTCATGATTCATTTTGATACACAATATCTCCTCATGGTATCTCCTCACGATACGATATACTCTCATGACGCAAACAAAGCCAAAATACAGTTAAAGGAATAGGAATGAAAATTGTCACCGTTTACTCACCCTCCACTTGTTCCAAACCGGTATGAATTTCTTGCAGTTGTTGGACACAAAAGATATATTGAAGAATGTGAGTAAGCAAACAATTGACAGTAGCCATTGACTTCCATAGTATGGGGAAAAAAATCATACTATGGATGGAAGTCAGTGGCTACAGTCAACTGTTCGGTCACCAACATTCCTCAATATATCTTTTTTTTGTGTGTTCAGCAGACGAAGAAAACGCGTACAGGTTTGGAACAACACGAGGGTGAGTAGATGACAGAATTTTCATTTTTAGTTAGCTATCACTTTAAAATGTTTTTATTATTATTATTATTTCTAAGACATGATAAACAGTTATCAAAAAGTACTGTTCATTAAAATGCTAAATTTGGTATTACATCAGGGTATACGTGAATATTTTTGGACTAAATACATTTAAAAAGTTTAAAATATTGTATTTTATTAAATAATGTATTTTATTTTTAATGTATTAATAATATTTAATAAACATGGAAGATGACCTTCTGGGTATACCATATTTGATATGCTCCATTACCATATTTGATGCAAAATTTTTATTTTAAACTTTTATTTTGGGTAAACACACAATACATACTGCCGCTATCCACGCTACAAATTCCTGCATTTCTGTATTATGATATATTGTGACACAACATATTGTTACATCCCTGGTTGTCGACATACTTTTGGTCGTGTATGGCACATTTTTAATCACAAATGTTGCAAATAAAGCAACAAGGAACATTTTAGCAACATATTTAACCATTAAAACATTACATATTTAGCAATGTATCTAAAACGCATCAAAATGCACACTTTGATTGGACATCTTGGCAATGTACATGTACTACCAAGATATTTAGCCATTCATGCCCTCATTTTAAAGGTACAAAAAGTGATCCAATATGGCAGACATACACAAAAGCTAGTGAAGAAAAGCTTTAATTAGTCTGCAAAATTGCACTGGAAGTGTCTGGATATAGAATACAGTAGGGTTCTGTTATCATAGGGGACGTTGCTATCTCTCTAGTCTAGCTGACACGCCGCTTCCCCTAAAGGGCTGCACCCCGGCCAGAAAATAGGTTGCAAATGAATTGGGCCTGATCCTCTAGCAATTCCAGTCATTATGGGGCCATCTGTGACTCTCAGTAGGCGTCAGAGAGCCTGGCATGTCAGAGGGAAAGAGAGAATCTACAGTCACTATATTACAGATGGCAACATCACGCTATAGCGGGAACATTTGGTGGCGAGAGTGAATGTTATCTCGGGACGTCCAGTATGAACAGAATGCATCAAATGGAGGGCAGTCGTATCACTCAAATCACTTATTACAACTGTTCTGTACGAATGTTTGCACATTTATTCATTTACTTTTGAATAGTGTTTTAAAGCTGTTTGTCGATGTAGCAATATATGTAATTCCTCTATGATGTAAAAGTTAATGTTTTGAGCTTTTTACTAATTTATTATATTTATTATATATTTATGCTATTTATTTTGTACTTGTGCTGGACAGTAATGCCTGTTTGTGCAAAGCCTTCTTTTTTTAAGGAAGAATCTTGATTCTTCAAAGCTTTGGCAATGTCTGAGGAATTATAAATTGATCTTTTTAGCCTCAAAATTTTTTTCCCAGTAACACTTTATAATAAGGGTCAATTTGTTAACATTAATGCATTAGGTACAATAAGCAACATCTTTTTATGAATCAGTGTTATTTTAATATTATTTATAAATCATTATAGTATTTATACATTTTTTTAATTA